TTCTTAACCACTGGACCGCCAGGGGAGTCCAAATCTTTGAACCCAGGATACCGACTAAAAGGAGCCTGTGATGCTCTGACCAAGTGGGTTTTTTTGTTTTGTTTTGTTTTGTTTTTTGGGCCATGCCACATGGCTGGAGGGATCTTAATTCCCCAACCAGGGATGAAAACGGGGCCCATGGCAGTGAAAGTGCGGAGTCCTAACCACTGGACTGCCAGAGAATTCCTAAGTGGTTTTTAGACTGTGTTCCCTGGAGCCCTAAGAGTGCTCTCCCTCCGTTATCCTGAGCACACAGTTTGAGTTCACATAGGAGTTCTGCTATAATATTTTAATTGAAATATATTTGAAAGCCTCTGGTTTGGTCTGCTTGGACGCCATGAGAATCCCGTGTAGCAGAATGGTTAGAGTCCTGGTGCCCACATTCCTACCTCTGCCCTTGGGCAAGCCACTGATCCTCTGAACCTTCCTCTCCTCACATGTAGAATGGATTGTATGAGGACTAGGTGAGGTCATCTGTTTAAAGTCCCTGGCAAAGGTCAACTACCCCAAAGGTGATGATGATGGCCCAGAGAGGGACAGCGACTTGCAGGGAGATGCACAGCATCCTCTCTCTTCTTTTCAGTCATTCGTGCCTTCATTGATTCACCAGGCACCCACTCCACGTCTAGTGGGACACTGGGGACCTCAGATGGACACTGCTATGGAAATCAACCTGGGTGCCGCTGGCCACGGGCCCCGCACAGAGCTCGACGATGAGGACTACCCCCAGGGTGGCTGGGACACGGTCTTCCTGGTGGCCCTGCTGCTCCTGGGGCTGCCAGCCAATGGGCTCATGGCATGGCTGGCCGGCTCGCAGGCCCGGCAGGGAGCGGGCACGCGGCTTGCCCTGCTTCTGCTCAGCCTGGCCCTCTCTGACTTTTTGTTCCTGGCGGCAGCAGCCTTCCAGATCCTGGAGATCCAGCATGGAGGGCACTGGCCACTGGGGACGGCCGCCTGCCGCTTCTACTACTTCCTGTGGGGTGTGTCCTACTCCTCCGGCCTCTTCCTGCTGACAGCCCTCAGCCTGGACCGCTGCCTGCTTGTGCTGTGCCCTCGCTGGTACCCTGGGCACCGCCCAGCCCGCCTGCCCCTCTGGGTCTGTGCCGGGGTCTGGGTGCTGGCCACCCTTTTCAGTGTGCCCTGGCTGGTCTTCCCCGAGGCCGCCGTCTGGTGGTACGACCTGGTCATCTGCCTGGATTTCTGGGACAGCGAGGAGCTGCCGCTGCGGATGCTCGAGATCCTGGGGGGCTTCCTGCCTTTCCTCCTGCTGCTCGTCTGCCACGTGCTCACCCAGGCTGCCACCTGCAGAACCTGCCGCCGCCAGCCCGGCTCCACGGCCTGCCGAGGCTTTGCCCGCGTGGCCAAGACCATTTTGTCAGCCTATGTGGTCCTGAGGCTGCCCTACCAGCTGGCGCAGCTGCTGTACCTGGCCTTCCTGTGGGACATCTACCCCGGCTACCTGCTCTGGGAGGCCCTGGTCTACTCTGACTACCTGATCCTGCTCGACAGCTGCCTCAGTCCCTTCCTCTGCCTCCTGGCCAGTGCCGACCTCCGGGCCCTGCTGCACACCGTGCTCTCCTCCTTTGCCGCAGCTCTCTGTGAGGAGCGGCCGGGCAGCTTCACTCCGGCTGAGCCACAGACCCAAGCGGCCTCTGGGGATCAGACTCTACCAGGGCCAGTGGCTGAGGCCCAGCCACAGGTGAACCCCACAGCCCAGCCACTGTTGGAGTCCGCGGCCCAGCCACAGTCAGACTCTCTGGTCCAGCCTCAGCTGAACCCCAGGGCCCAGCCCCAGGAGAACCACGAGGCCCAGCCCCAGCCGGATGCTGGGGCCCAGCCACAGGCAAGCCCTGAGGCCCAGGCCCCTGGAGCCCCGGCCAGCTCAGCCCCCAGCCCCTGTGACGAAGCCTCCTCTGCCCCCTCCACGGATTCCACCCCAGAGGCCCCTGTGAACCCGGCCGAACCTGCTGCCTCTGAGGGAGAAAGCCCCAGCAGCGCCCCCCAGGAGGAGGCCCCGGGTGCAGGCCCCACGTGAGAGTCTGGGAAAGCCAGGGCCGCCAGGGCAGCAGAAGAGCTGGGGAGACAGAGGAACCAGCCGGTCAGAGGACGACGGCTGCCGTGGAGGAAGTCCTCATGGAAAACCCCAGCGAGCCCCTTGGCCTGGCAGACGGACTTGGGCGACGTGAACACGAAGCAGCCAAAAGTCCCGGACAGCCTTGTTGTGAGCGTCATGTCCCTGCCGGATCCCAGCAAGCTCCTCTGTGCTTGGCCCACACACGGTGGTCCAACGGTCCCCTGAGCTACCACAGCTGATGGTGCCCTGCCGGGCTCTGCCCTCCGATGCCCCCCAGACCCCACAGACAGTCTCCCCTTAGCCTCGGTCCTGCAGGAGAAAGACTGGCAGGGTGACTTCTCCGGGCTTGATCTGACCTCCCCTGATCCTTCCCTCCCTGCCCCACTTCCTATCCCAACCTCTAACCTGGATACGAGAAGCCGAAGAGGAAGTCCCTGCAGAGAAGGGAGCCGTTCATCAGGAGCCCAGGGTCTTAGGAACCCACAAGCTGGCCTGGCACGGCCAAGCCCTCTCTGCCAGCCCCCTGCACCCAACAGGCAGTGGGGCTGGGGCAGGACTTCCCTCAGCAAGGTGGTGGGCGCAGAGGCGAGAGCTAGCAAGCCTGGATTCAAATCCGGCGCTGGGTGACTCTGGACAAGCTGATTCACCCTCCGAGCTCCTGTTTCATCTGGCATTGTGAGGATTAAATGAGAAAGTGTGTGAGGTGCCTGGCAGGAACTGGCACACAGTAGGGGCTCGGTGAACAGGGGCTCTTCCTTCACGGACATCCAGGGATGTCCCTGCAGGGGCTGGGCATGGATTGGAGGAGGTGCCACCTGGCCTGAGCATCTGGGATCCTGTGAACTTCGGGGCAGACCATGGTGCCCATGACCAGCTCTGGGCTGCAGACACCCAGGTGGCCTGAGAGAGCATGTGCCCGCCTCCGTGCCTCGGGCAGCTCCAGGGGACTTCAAGGTCTGCTACGTTTAAGGGTTCGAGTGCTCACCTGCCCATCCCCCACCAAGGAGGAGGTACAGAGTGCCCTTGTCCTGCCTCAGCCTGAGCCCCTTCTATACACTCAGCCCAGATGCAGAGATGGGAAGATGTCCCAGCAGAGAACTCTGGGGACCAGGGGCTCCAGAGATAGCACAGGCTCCTTGGAGGTCACACGGTGTCTCTAGGGCAGAGCCAACCTCCTCCCTCTTAAGCTGCAGACACTGCTAGAAAAACTAGGAAGTGCTGAAGGTCTATTTTCAGAACCCCCACACCACTTCCTTTTCATACACATCACTCTCTACTGGCACTCACCCTACCCAATCCCCAGGGTTCCAAAATCATGAACCCTTTCCCCTTCCCCCCCCCTGCCCCCCCCCCCACCCTTTCCCATTAGCTCAGCGTTGTGACCTTTAGAAGCTGAGAGATGTCCTTACCAGTAGGTGTAAATGACAATGACATTTTACGTGCTACCCTTCCCAGGGGTGCTTGCTGTATAGGCAGACTGAAGTGGTGCAGTCAGATTTGGATTCTGGTTCCCAGGTCGCTCTTTGCCTCAGTTTTCTCCTCTGTAAAATGGGGTGATAACATTCCCTTTGCAAGTGTGGCTGTTGTGATCATTAACCAAACCCGGGGATGGAAGCATGCTGGGTGGTGGTGTTGCTGATACCAGCAGCATAATCATAGCATTTCCTGCAATTGTGGGCACCGAGGCTGGTGGGAGAGATTTCTGGACAGGCACAAATTTGTTGAATTCATTCATCCAGCAAATATTTATTGAGCACTTGTTAGGTGCTTTTTCAGCCAGGCTTCCATTTTGGGTGGGGTTAGCACATGGCCTCTAGTGCCCCTCAGAGGTTGTTTGAATCCTGGTTCTCCACAGCTCACCAGCTGTGTGATCTTCAGCAAGGCTCTTGGCCTCTTTGAGACTCAGTTTCCTCATCTGTAAAATGGGGATCGTAATCATGGTTCCATTTTCTAAGTGTTAATCCCTGTGAAGTGCTCAGATCCTTGCCTGGCACACAGTGCTTAATAATTGTTAGCCACTCATTCAATTATGCCAGTGGACACCCCCAGGTCTCACTCAGGCCTGGGACAGCACTGACCCCCCAGAGCCCACATGGCAGCATCCTGCCCACCAGGCATTGCCCCCCCCACCCCGCCCCACCACACAGCCTCCTCCTCCACTTTCCAAATGCTTTCACACTTCCCACCCCATTGGACTGCACACGTCCTTAGGGCAGGGTCTGGACTGATGTCCCCCTTGCAGAGTGCCCCTCTCCCTTCTCCCAGGTAGGGACCCCGAAGCTTTTTCACATGGCAGGCAGATCAGGGACTAAATCCTCAGTGCCAGCCACCTGCCTTCAACTCTGGTCCATACTCCTAACCCCACCTCTTGGGGGACCTCCCTGGCGGTCCAGTGGTTAACACTCTGTGCTTCCACTGCAGGGGGTGTGGGTTCCATCCCTGGTTGGGGGACTAAGATCCCACATGCCACGCAGTGTGTGGCCAGAAGAAAAAAAAGATGCTACTAACCCTACCTCTTGGAGAGTGTGGGCCAGCCCCACCTCCAAGGTCCCAGATGGGAACCCCACTCATAATGGGTACTTGCCATCCAGGAGAAAGAGCAGTGCCATGAAGGGTTTTGTGAGATAAAGAGGAGTTCTCCTCCCGGCCCACAGAGGAGGGTTTTGTATCGGAGGAAACATGCACACCCAAGGCCAGAGAGGATGAAGGGAGGGCTTACCCCCAACATTCCACAGCCCCTCCCCTCACCCCTAACACACTCCATGGGGCTGGGTTCCTGTTACCCTCTGGAAGATTCATCCCTTCCACAGGTGAGAGACACACTTCCCTCTCCTTCATAGGTACCAGACATTGAGAGCTATGAATATGAACATTTTTCAATTCCACATTCAGGGCTGCTGTTCATTTATTCATTCAGTATACATTAATTGAACACATACTGTATGCTAGGTCTTGTTCTAGGAACTGGGGATACGGTGGGAAACAAGGCAAAGTGCAATCCTCAATTTGCGGACATCCTAGCGGGACAAGGCAGACAAAAAGCAAATACACAAATAATTAGGGAATTCCCTGGTGGTCCAGTGGTTAGGACTCTGAGCTGTCACTCCTGAGGGCACAGGTTCGATCCCTGGTTGGGGAACTAAGATCCCACAAGCTGTGCAGTGCGGCCAAAAATAAAAAATAAAGCAAATACACAAAATAATTATACAATATAACATCAGGTAGTGATTAAGAACGTACAGGGGGAACAAGTAAGGGCCAGAGAGTGATGGGTAAGGGGGATAGTCAGGGAGGGCCCCCAGAGGAGGTGACATTTGAGCAGAGACCTGGAGGAAGTGAGGGATGGAGCCTTTTCAAGATGTGGGGGAAGCGCTTCCAGATGGAGGGAACAGGATGTGCCAAAGCCCTGGGGTGGGAAGGGAGGTGGTGTATTTCAGGGATAAGGAGGGTCAGTGTCACTGGGCCACATGAAGAGAGGAGGATGGAGGAAGGTAACAGGTGGGGGAGGGGGCAATGACAGTGGGTCATTGATGTGATGAAGGGCAAAGGGAGAGGGTTCGGGGTAGGGGATCTGGTGTGGGCTTTAGACAGACCCCTGGCTGTTGCCTGGGGGACACAACAGAGAGGGAAGCTTTGTGGCTGCGTTTCCTTTTCCAAACCGCCCACATTCTGGTCCTGGGCTGGAAGGATTGGCCTGTCCTAGGGGTTATGGAGCAGTGGGAAAAGCAAGGACTTTGGAGTCAAACAGAATGCCAGATTGGAGGGGGCAGATTCTGCCTATGGGACCTACAGGGACACCTAAGCCTGCCAGGGTGGGATGGGGATGGGGTAGATCCAGTGGGCCAGCCTGTCTCAGGAGCTGGCCAGGAGGAGGGAGACATCTGTGGACAGACCTCCAGGCCTCGGTGGGAGATGGTTGAGGAAAGCAAGGAAGGTTTGAGGGGTCTGGAGGTCATGGCCCTATTTCTCTTTTTAATAAGGAGGCCAGGCAGGACCCAAAGGTGTCCATCGGGGAGAATGAGAGGGCTGGGCCTTCCACTCGCCCCCTAAAACACCACTGTTTTATTTACATTGTACCAAGAGCACGTACCTTTGTAACTTGAGGCACGTGAATATATCGCCTGTCCGAATAGATACTATATTTCGAGTTGAGGTGGACTCGACCGGGAAGTATGCATTGAGGTGGGGGATTGGGAGGGCGGGCTCCACCCAACCCTGGAGACTCCTGAGGACACGGACAGGAGGAGCAGGATGGGGAAGGGGTCCGGGTATGCCGCCAGGCTGCCGCACCACGGCCCCATTCCCATCCCGGCCCCTACCGCTGCCCCTGACCCTTTGCCCCAGAGGGACCTGGAGGGCTGCGGGGCGGAGCTCTCTCAGGCCCCGCCCAGGCCCCGCCCCTGAGCCCCGTGAGGCTCCGGACCCGCACTCCTGGCTCCGGCCTGCCAGGCCACAGCTCACAGCCTCCCGCCCCGCCCCTCCGCGCGTGACCTCGGCCCCGCCCCCTTGAGCCCCCGCCCCGCCCCCCGCCCCCCGCCCCTCTCTCCTCTGTCACTTCCTGATTCCCGCTTCCTGCTTCCCAGAGACTGGGATACGGAGCCACCCGAGGACAGTGCAGCAGCCTCCAGGCGTCCCTGGTGAGCGCGACGGGCCGGGGCTGGGGGCGCAGGCGGGGGGTTGGGCGGGACTTCGGGGGCAGAGCCGCAGGGGGCTGGGGTGGGGGTCGCGAGTCCGAAGAGCCCTTCCCCTCCGCGGCGCCCCACCCTCAGTCCCAACTCCCCCTGGCCGCTCAGCGTCTCCCCTGCCAGACCGGGATCCTTGAAGTTGGGCTCCTGCTTCACCTTGGACCCCCGCTCTGAGGGCGCTCTGGGATGCTCTGTGGCTGGGAGCGGCGTCCCGACCCCCGCCCAGTCCTGCCAGGGCCCCTGGACCGGCTTGGGGCTCCCTGCACATTCCTGCAGGCACTGCACATTCCGTGGGACCCAGAACTGTGGCCTAGCGCGGACCCACAACGGAGATCATTCTGGCCTCCTCTGTCTGTCCTCCCCATCACCCTGCTTCCAAATCCTGGGCAGGAAGGAGCCTGCTGGGAACTGACTAGGACCCACCAAGGAGCTAAGCTTGCACTGGCTCGGGCACCTCCCCCCTCCTCCACACGCATACCAGAGGCCGGGGAGACGCCCTGGGTAGCGTCCAGCAGAGCCCCTCAGGACTCAGCAGTGGTTCTGCAGGAGGTCAATGCATTTCTACCTTCAGATCCCCCCTTGGGGAGAGGCGGCCAGGTCAGCCCTGTGACCCTATCCTGTAACTTGGGAAACCGAGAGCCAGGCAGGTTATCAGGCCCAGGCGCCCTGTTGCATCCTCCCCACTCCCTTCGTGCAGCCCTGGGAGGCTTGGGGGTTGTTGGGATGGGCAGCGGCTGACCTACGCTTCTCCACTCTGCAGTCATGTTCCGCAAAGTGGTTCGGCAGAGCAAATTCCGACATGTGTTCGGGCAGCCTGTCAAGAATGACCAGTGCTATGAGGACATTCGAGTGTCCCGTGTCACCTGGGACAGCACCTTCTGCGCCGTCAACCCCAAGTTCCTGGCAGTGATTGTGGAGGCCAGCGGTGGAGGCGCCTTCCTGGTGCTCCCCCTAAGCAAGGTGGGCCCCATCGGGGCTGGGAGGGGACTGGAGCCAGCTTGGTCGCATCTGCCAGGTCTCTCTGCTCCCTTCACAACCCATAATTTGCCCATCCCCACACTGCCCGGCAGCTGTCGTAATCCACATTTACCGCCTGGGAGGTGTTAGCACAGATAGGGAAAGCCTGTTTTTTATTGCCACAGAGTCAGGGTCAGAGGCAACAAACATATCCTGCTCATCTGGTGACACCTGTGAGGAAGAGGTGGGTCAGGAGGAGGCAGGGTGAGAGTCACATCTGGGCCACCTGTGGGCCAGGCCAACCACATCATTCCTTGTCCACCGAGGGGAGGGCTGAAGTTCTGGGAGGGATGGAGCCTGGGCATCTTGGGTCCCCCTTGACTGCCCCCCTCATGCCTGCAGACCGGCCGCATTGACAAGGCCTACCCGACAGTGTGCGGACACACAGGACCTGTCCTGGACATTGACTGGTGTCCCCACAACGACGAAGTCATCGCCAGCGGCTCGGAGGACTGCACGGTCATGGTGAGGCATGGGGCTGTGATGGGGCGGGGGTCGCAGATGTGGCTCAAGGCTCCTGGCAGCAGGGCCAAGCAGGGGCCTCATCTGCCCTCCCCACCCCTCCCCAGGTGTGGCAGATCCCGGAGAACGGGCTGGTCTCCCCTCTGACGGAGCCGGTGGTGGTGCTAGAGGGGCACAGCAAGCGAGTGGGCATCATCACCTGGCACCCGACGGCCCGCAACGTGCTGCTGAGCGCAGGTCTGCACCGCTGCCCCTGCCCTGCCCCTCGATGCGCACAGCTCCGCAGCATCCCACACCCTCTCCCAGGCCCGTCTGACACCCAGGAAGGTTGAGGCCCACAGAGGTCGAGTGCCGGGTCGGGTCCCAGGAGGGTGGTCATTGCTGATGGCCCCCCGCTCGGCAGGCTGCGACAACGTGGTGCTCATCTGGAACGTGGGCACGGCGGAGGAGCTGTACCGCCTGGACAGCCTGCACCCCGACCTCATCTACAACGTCAGCTGGAACCGCAACGGCAGTCTCTTCTGCACCGCGTGCAAGGACAAGAGCGTGCGCATCGTTGACCCCCGCCGCGGGACTCTGGTGGCGGTACGTGGCCCTGGAGGGTGAGGATGGCTGCAGACTGGCCGAGGGGCTCTCTTGGGGCTCCACACTGACCGCTCCGTCTCCCCGGCAGGAGCGGGAGAAGGCTCACGAAGGGGCCCGGCCCATGCGGGCCATCTTCCTGGCAGACGGCAAGGTGTTCACCACGGGCTTCAGCCGCATGAGCGAGCGGCAGCTGGCGCTCTGGGACCCGGTGAGTGGCCCGGCCGGCCCAAGCGGGTGGCCTCAAGACGGGCTCCACCCTGGGCGAGGAGGGCGGGGTCACCTGGAGAGGCCTGTCGTTCCCAGGTTCTCAGCCTGGCACCTGAGGCACCCAGGACCTGCAGCCCTGCCAGCCTCTCCTCTCCCTGCCCCCTGCTCTCTGGCCTCCCCCACCGCCTCCACCTGCCTCCGTGTCTGCCCACAGTGTTCTTGCCCCTGAAAGGCCCTTCCCTCCTTTGCTTGTCTGTTAACACTCGGCTGTCCTTCGAGGCCCAGTGCAGAGGTCCCCTTCTCCAGGAAGGCTTCCAGCCTTTCCTGTGATGTGCTCTGTCCCACAGGCTTAACCTTCTGTCTGGCGACCTCCGGGGGCCCCTCTGAGACAGCAGCTAGCGCTGCCCGGCACCCCTGGCTCCTGCGTGGTGGGGGCTTTCTCAGTACTTGCTTGGTGGCCTGGCGGTAGTCTGAAGGCCTGGAGTAGTCGGGGAAAATGGGACCGTGGGAGTGGAGGGAGGGGAGCCAGGAGGGCCTGGCGGGGCTACACCGTGTGGGCAAAGGGTGGCAGTGGTAGGGGCAGTGCCAGCCAGCTTGTGAGGCTAGCTGGGGCCAGTCCCAGTGAGGGGTTAGGACAGTGAGGGGAGAGGGCAGGTTCTGGCCTGGCCTGACTGCCCTTCAACCCATGTGCCAGGAAAACTTCGGGGAGCCCATGGCCCTGCAGGAGTTGGACTCTAGCAACGGGGCTCTGTTGCCCTTCTACGACCCTGACACCAACGTGGTCTACGTCTGCGGCAAGGTAGAGCTGGGCAGGGCTGCTGGGGACAAGGAAGAGATAGGCAGGCCCAGGTGCTGACCCCTGGCCCCTCCCGCCCTGCAGGGTGACTCCAGCATCCGGTACTTTGAGATCACAGACGAGTCCCCCTACATCCACTTCCTGAACACGTTCACCAGCAAAGAGCCCCAGAGGGGCATGGGCAGCATGCCCAAGAGGGGCTTGGAGGTCAGCAAGTGCGAGATTGCCCGGTAAGAAGGTGGATGTAGGGAGCTGCTCGGGGGCAGGAACCGGCCCAGAGGGGCCCCGGGGTCAGGGGTCAGCCTGTGGGAGGGGCCAGGGTAAGGACTGGAAGGGGAGGGCAGAGGGAGCTGGGAGAGCTGGTAGGGGGCAGGTTCCACCCATGGGTCCTCCCTCCCCGCCCTTTCCCAGGTTCTACAAACTGCACGAGCGCAAGTGTGAGCCCATTGTCATGACAGTGCCACGAAAGGTGAGGCCACCTGGTTCCCTGCCCACCCACTCCCTTTCTAGCAGACAGACCACACAGGGGTGCCCCAGGTGAGGCTCGTGAATGGGACATGGCCGAGTGGGTGTAGCCAGCGGGCTGGACAGATGCCAGCGTGCCCAGCGAGGGCCAGGCAGGGATGAGACACAGGGTGAACGGAGGCCTCGCTCTGCGTGAGCCACAGGAGGCAGATACTGGGCAGCCTTGGAGTCTCCCTGTAGGAGGCAAGGCAGGAGCAACAGCATGGCTGGGGCCGGGCCTCCAATGAGGGGTGTGTAGTAAGCCAGGCGAAAGCACAGAGGTGGGAATGGAAAGGAGCGGGGAGTCTGGCTGCAGTGGAGGCTCCTGTGAGGTGGGGATTCGGCCACATGTGGCTCGGCCTCAGAGCCCCAGCTGAGAGCCTTGAACGTGCTTCGTTTCTCTCCAGCCAGCGTTTACTGAGGGCACAGGGTAGCGTGCCAGGCACGTCCAGGGAGCAGAGCTGAGGGCGAGTTCAGCGGGGCCAGCCCCAGGAACTCACTGTCCACAGGGCACAGACGTGGCTCCCAGAGTCCCACAGAGCCACGTAGGTGGCCCCTGCTTGGGAAGGTGGGGGGAATCTTCAGAGGGAGCTGTCGGTGGTGTCCAGAAGAAAGTGAAAGAACAGATTTGAGCTTTAGAAATGTCACTAGGGGTCAGGCCGTGGGAAGATGGGTTGACAGGGTGCAAGCCTGGAGGCCAGGAGAGTGTTGAGGAGGTGGCCACTCAGGGTCCAGACGAGAGGACCCTGCAGGTGGGCCCCAGCTGACCCAGACCTCCCCCCGGCCCAGTCGGACCTCTTCCAGGATGATCTGTACCCCGACACAGCTGGGCCTGAGGCGGCCCTGGAGGCAGAGGAGTGGGTGAGCGGGCGGGATGCCAACCCCATCCTCATCTCCCTGCGGGAAGCCTACGTGCCCAGCAAACAGCGGGACCTGAAGGTCAACCGGCGCAACGTGTTATCAGACAGCCGGCCCGCCGCGGCCCCTGGCTCCCCCCGCCCAGGGGCCTCCACGCCTGCTGCCTTCACCAGTATTGCCGCCCCTGGCGGCAGCCTCGCCGGAGCCGGGGTAGGTGCCCCTCAGCTCAGGGTGGTGTTGGGAAGCCCGGGTGTTGCCCAGGTCTGCTGTGCCTGCCTGAACCACTCACTGCCCCTCTCTGGGCCTCAGGCCCCCTCTGCCTGATAGTGAATTTGGGGAGGGCTGCAGCTCCGAAACCCCTGCCCCTGCTCATGTCCCTGCAGGAGGCTGGGAAGCTGGAGGAGGTGATGCAGGAGCTGCGAGCACTGAGAGCGCTGGTCAAGGAGCAGGGGGATCGCATCTGCCGCCTGGAGGAGCAGCTCGGCCGCGTGGAAAATGGAGACGCCTAGAACTGGGCCCAGTGGATGACACTCCCCATTCACCTCCTCCGCCCACCCCTTTCTCACTCAGCCTCTGCTGGCGGGTCACACTGACTCCGGCTGGCTGCCCCTGCCCCCGCTGAGGGTTTCTGGGGCAGGTTCAGGGACCAGTCCACACCCTGAGCCATCCTGTGGGCCTAGGCTGGAGCCACCGCCTGGCTTTGGGCATTGTTACTGGGGAGGGTTTTTGTACCCAGGAGAGCTTCTACTCTGAGGCACCATCTCCCCCACCCCCACCCAGCCCCCCTGCTCCCTCCCCTGAGGAAGCAGGAGGGATGGGCTCTATATTTTCATTCCAAATAAAATTCTCTTTCTAAAAGCCAGGTTTGCCCTTCTGCTGCAAGGGTGGGACTGGGAAAGGAAGTCTGGACCCCTGGGGGGGGACATAGGGCGCCCCCATGGATCATAAATGTGAGAAAGGTCTGGGGGACCGTGAACATCCCCCGCACTGCCCCCCATAGCCCCAGCCTGGCCCGGGGAGAGGCCGGTGAGGATCTGGTGTGGATCAGGGTGGTTCTGAGAGGCCCCGGGGTCGGGGGTGGGGTGGGGGGGCGACGAGGGTCCTGTTGCAGGGAGGGCTGAGCGGGATGTTGTGGGCAGGAAGCGGAAGCGCCGAGTTAACCCCAGGTGCGTCGAGAGCGCAAGCTCATTTCTCGCTCCACACGGCCAGGGCTGGAGGTGGGCGCCCGGCGCTGAGAGGCCAGCAGACCGATGGTGAGCCTGGAGCCTGGTGGGTCCTTGGGGTGGGGGCCACAGGAGGTCAGGGCTGGAATGTCTAGGCCCCAGGAGCTAAGGAAGGACCCCCCGCGGGCCTGGGGGCAGGAGCAGCCAGGCAGGGGACAGAGGCGAGACACCCGGGATGAGCCCAGGGCATAAGCTGGGCCTTCCTCTCACCTCACATCAGACCTGGGCCTCCCTCAGATTCAGGGGGTGGCCACCCAGTGCCCCACTCCATGCCCGACCCCCCTTCAAGACCCCCAGGTGGACTCTCACCTGCTCTGCTCGGGAGCTGGGACTCTGCACGGCCTCTACTCGCATCCCTGGAGCCTGGGCAGACAGTGGGGTGGGAGAAGGCTTGCTCACATCTCGGCACCCCTCCCCCCACACACCCCCCACCTGCCTTGTTCCAACCGCAGGCTTCCTCTGGCAGCTGCACCCGCCTGCCCCAGCCCCTGGCCCTGCGAGGCCCGAGGCCCCAGGGACGGAGAGTTGAACGGAAATGCTGCAGCTAGGGCAGTCCCCATGGGGCAGTCCCCGTGGCTGGGAGGGAGGAAGAGGGGTCTCAGTGACCCCCATCCTGGGACCTGGCCAAATGGAGGCTACACAGTTGCCTCGGGCTCGGTCCCCCCATCCTGGGCCTCAGGAAGAGCCAGCTCCAACACCAGCCTTGCAGGTGCCTGCCTTCCCTTCCGTCCCCTCCTCCTGGGGGCAGAGTCTTTACAGATATATATTTTTTTTAATTAATTTATTTATTTTTGGCTGCTACTCTTCGTTGCGGTGCGCGGGCTTCTCATTGCGGTGGCTTCTGTTGTTGCGGAGCACGGGCTCTAGGCGCGTAGTTGTGGCACGCAGGCTCAGTAGTTGTGGCGCACGGGCTTAGTTGCTCCGCGGCATGTGGGATCTTCCCATACCAGGGCTCAAACCCATGTCCCCGGCATTGGCAGGCGGATTCTTAACCACTGCGCCACCAGGGAAGTCCCTACAGATATTTCTTGAGCGCCTACTCTGCGCTAGGAATTGTTTAGGTGCTTAAGCCAAAAAGAACCCCATCTTCCTGGGGGGAAGAGAAAAGAATAAGCATACTAAACGGGCAGTTATCTCCTGTGTCGGGGAGGGGGTAGGAGGGTAAAGCAGGGCTGGGCTGTGGGGATGAATGTCAGGGTACTAATCCAGGCCAGCTTAGGCTGCACTGAGGTGCCTTGAGCCAGGGTGAGCAGGGAGCCATGTGGCTCTCGGGGGGGATGGAGCATTCCAGACAGAGGGGACAGCCGGTGCACAGGCCCCAGGCAGGAGCTGGCTTACGTGGTGCAGTGGGAGAGAGGGAGGTGAGAGGCAGGAGGACGCATCGCTGGCGGACATCACAGAGCCAGGAGAGGCCTTACTGACAAGGGCTTTTCTGCTTGACTGTCCCCATCTTACCCAAGAGGCCACCAACCGCAGGCAATGAGCCCCTTCCTGTCTCCCCCCAGGACCTGCGCTGCGTCCTAGGGCTCTGGACGCTGCTGGCCCTGCCAGGGGCCCTGGGCTCGGGCCGCAGCGCCGAGGACAGCCCGGGCTCCAGCTCCTCGGTCACCGTGGTCCTGCTGCTGCTGCTGCTTCTGCTGCTGGCCACTGGCCTGGCGCTGGCCTGGTACCGCCTGAGCCGGGACTCGGGGGGCTACTACCACCCGGCCCGCCTGGGCGCCGCGCTGTGGGGCCGCACTCGCCGCCTGCTCTGGGCCAGCCCGCCAGGCCGCTGGCTCCGGGCTGAGCTGGGGTCGCCAGAAGAGGACCTGGAGCGGCAGGAGGATGAGCGGGACGTGGAAGATGACTGCGACCTGGGTGGTGGCCAAGAGGAGCGTGAATCCCAGGAAGAGGGGCAGCGTGGAGAGGGGCCCAGCCCACAGCAGGCCCCGGAGCCGGCCGAGGAAGCCTATGACGATGACACCGAAGGGGGCCTGGGCCTCGGCTCCCAGGGGCCGGTGGGCTCCGGGGGCAGCGCCGAGGCCCTGCTGAGTGAGCTGCACGCCTTTGCTGGCAGCGCGGCCTGGGACGACAGCACTAGGGCAGCTGGGAGCCGGGGCCTCCACGTCACCGCACTGTAGGAGCCAGCCCTGGCGCCACATCCTGGTCACTGTGCCTCTGCTTCCCGAGCTGCCACGGCTGGACACAGCCTGCCCTGGGTGCATGTGACCCACACCCCCGCTTGGAGAGCCTCAGACAGTCACTCCCCGCAACGAGTTCTAGTCCCCAAGTCTGTGTATCCCTGGCCCCTCCAGGAAGGCCATCCGTCCCCAGGGGGCACTGGGCAGCCATCTGAAATAAAACCCCTCCGGCCCACCGCCGTTCTGTGGTCCTGTCACGGCCCCTCCCATCCCTTAGCAGGGACTCCTCCCGGCACGACCCCACCCGCCCCTGCCCCAGAAGTCCAAAGGAGAAACCAGGTCAGTGCCATGATTGAACACTTTAATAATCCAAGGGCACAGCTCAACTGCGGGAGGCCGGGGGGCAGCCCCCCTCGACTGGCAGCCGTTGTCTGCAGTCCTTCGTGTTCATGATTCAGGGGCACGGCCACCCCCAGCAGAGACACTCACGCACACTCGCTCCTGTACCCCTCGGCACAGCCCCAGGTCTCTGGAACTGGCCCGGGGTCCCACTGCCCTCATCTCTACCCACTCTCTTAGCGCCCGGGGCGCCCACGGCCTTTCTTGGACTTCTTGGTCCCTGAAGGGGGTCGGATGGGGAGGGGGGCAGTGCTCGAGGGCGGCGGTAGTGGCGGCGGCGGCAGCAAGAGAGGGGGTAGAGTGGGCTCCAGGGGCTCTGGTGGGCCGGGGCTGGGCCGGAATCCCTCAAAGGGCAAGAACTTCAGGGGGCTGCAGGGGAAACCGAGGCAGAGTCAGCATTTCCTGGCACGGGGCCAGGATGCAGTCAAGTGCCCACCCAGGCGGCCCCTGCCATAGAAGTTCCCATGGTAGACGGAGAAACAGAGGCTGAGGCTGGTTCAGAGACGGCCAAGGCAGCCCTGGGGTTGACGGCAGAGCCAAAGCTAGAACGGCCCCCGCCCCGCGGTACCTGATGGGGGTCCAGGGGCTGCCGTTGAGGCGCCTGGGGGAGCGCAGCTTGGGCTGGAGGGAGAAGCCCTCCTTGATGCTGTCCAGGACGGAGGGCGCCACGTACGTGAAGCCCTAGGGGGCAGAGGCGGGGCCAGGCGAAGCTCAGGGTCCACCGCTCCTTGGCCACACCCCTGCCCGTGTCCCTGTAACCCTCAGGCCCCCAGACCTCACCAGGAAGGCCTGGTTGGCGCTCTCACTGAGGGCCGTGTCGTCTGGACTGTCCACCGGCGTCTGCCTCGTGAAGTGGGAGTCAAACTGGCTCACGTCCTCCTCCGACTGCTGTGGGCACCCCAGGGGCAGAGTCAGGGGTGTCCAGGACAGGGGCCTCCATCCGCCCCCAGGCCAGTGGGACCTCCACTCACCAGGGACGGCCGGAAAGGGGGGTCCACTCGGCGGGCCAGGAGGTCATCCCAATTAACGTGCCGGAAGAAGGGGTGCCTCTGTGGGCAGAGTGCCCCCAAACGTGCCAACATTTCACCCTCCATGGCTCCCTCAGAAACCCCCTCTGCTCTAGGGCCCTGTCCCCTGCACCCAGACACCCTTGGGGGCTCAGCCCTGCCCCCTCGTAATGGTCCCAGACCCACCTGCACATCAGCGGCGTCCCCAGGGCCACCCCCGATACGTTGGCTGGGATTCCGCTTCAGAAACTGCAGGACAAGGGCAGGGGGTGAGGGTCTCGGGCGGAGGTACCGGTTGTTTCCGAGTGGCCCCAGGGGGTGGGGAAAGGTGAGAAAGGGGTCGTGGCTTGCGGTGGGGGCCCTGGAGTGTGGTCTCCACCTACTGACACCCTCAGGATTTCCAAGGTTTGGTCCCATGGCCCCTTCTCCACAAAGCCTTTGCTGGCATCACCCCAGGGCACATTCGTGGGGATCCAACTCACGATCTGGATGGGGTGCCTAGCCTCCCACTTTGATCCCCAGTGACCGACTTTTTGAGGAGAGCGGCTAGTGCATGGTGCAGGCCTCGCTGATTAGGACTCAGACTAGGGACCTGGCCAAGGTCGGCAGCTGGTCTGCGCCAGAGCTGACGTCTCACACCTCACAGCCAATGCTCCTCGTCCCAAAGGGACATCGTACAGGTGGGGGAAGGGGAGTGGGGAGCTCCAGCAACCCTGGCCCAGGGAGACTCAGGAGCCTATGCAGGGCCTGGGAGAAGAGACGGGGGCCGTACCAAGGGCAGGAGGGAGCCCACCTTTTTGACGAGGTCCCGGGCATCTGGGGTGAGGTAGGCGGGCAGCTCCAGCTTCCCTCTGATGATCTTATCCATGGTTTTCTTCCGGTTCTCTGCAGTGAAGGGTGGCTGGAGAAGGCAGAGGGTGAGAGGAGCCTTGCGGGCCTCCCACCGGGCCCGCCCCTGCCCCGGGAGGGGGCCCTCCTCCCGCCCCCATGCCCACCCTCCCGAGGAGGCTGGACTTGCCGATCCAGTGAGCATGTCGTACATCAGGGCCCCCAAGCTCCACCAGTCCACCGCCCGGTTGTGGCCACTGCGCACCAGAATCTCAGGGGCCCTGGGGGCCAGGTGGAACCATCAGTCAGGCCGAGCCCTGCCTGGCTGTCCTCCCGACCCCTGGGCCCAGCCGGCTGCCGCTTACATGTACTCGATGGTGCCGCAGAAGGTGTGGGTGACGGCACCCTCGTGAATCGACTCCTTGCAGAGGCCGAAGTCCGTCAGTTTGATGTGACCTGAGGAAGAATGTTAGGGCGGGTCGGTCAGGACCCCAGGCCACCCCGCGGGGCTCAGCCCTCCCCACACATGCGCACCCTGGCTGTTGAGCATGATGTTCTCAGGTTTGAGATCCCGGTAGATGATGCCTTGGGAGTGGAGATGGCCCAGGGCCAGTGTGATCTCTGACAGGTAGAAACTGCAGAGACAGGACAGGGTGAAGGCAACGTGGGGGTGGGGGGGGGGGGGGGGAGCCAGGCCCTGGCGGGGAGGGGTCCCTGGACCCCCTCAGGAGAGAGGCTGGAGGTAACACCCACCAGGCCGTGTCTTCCAGGAAGATGCCCTCTCGCTCCAGATGTGTGAAGAGCTCGCCGCCTGCGACACAAACATGTCAGCAGCTGTGTGCTGGGACCAAGCTCCTCTGCTCGCCGAGCCTTGGTTTCTTCTCGGGGAGAGTGGGGCTCGTAATTCCCGCCCTACCTGCCTCCCAGAGCTGCCGTGGGGACTCAATTCAATTCAGCAAACGTCTACCGACGCCTACTCGGTGCCTGGCCCTGTGCTGGGTGAAGCTGGGGACAGAGATGAGGAGCCCCAGCCACTGCCCGCAGGACGCTCAGTCTACTGGGGAGACAGACACGCACACAGCTGCTCCAATGTGCCAGACTGAGGCAACGGCCCTGAGAGCCTACCAAAACCTTCACAGAGGAGACAGGAGGACACAGTTAACCCCAGCGTGAGGGGACAGAGAAAGTCCCTGGCAGCGGTGAGACTTAAAGGGGATGCAGAGATGGAGCGCAGGAAATGAAGCTCCCAGGGCTCATCGGGACAGATGGGGTCAGTAGGAAAAGCAGGCCCGGATCGCTTCATGGCGAGCAGGGGACACCAGGCCAAGGAGGCCAGGCTTGATCCGGGCAGTTGCAGGGAGCCATGGAATTCTGGGTAGGAGTGTTGGGGGCAATCCCGTGCTCTGAGACGAAGACCCTGGAAGTTGGTGGAGGAGACACTAGGAAGAGGGTGAGCTGGAGGCTTTGAGGCCAGTTAAGAAACAACTGTGACGCCTCCCCTCCGCCCAAGAGAGTAGAGAGGATAGAGGACACTGCAGAGAATGAACCATCTGGATTGGGATCTGACTGGATGCAGGGCACACAGAAGGGGGGACCAGCACATGAAGGGCTACTGGAAATGGACAAAACAACCCTCTGGACATCTATACAAACTCCCACCATTCCCATCCACCCCCAACACCGGTGAGGGATACAAGAGGCACTGGACAGACGTTTGCTGAATGAATGAATGAAATGAATGAATGAACGAACGGACAGAGGGATGGATGAGGTGGGGCCCCCCTGGCCATTCTACATACCACGTCTCTCCCAGCTCCCCCCAGAGCTCCCTGTGCTGGTTCCCTGGCCTTGTCCACACCCCAGATGGGCCCGCACTCATACCACTGAGGCACTCCAGGATGAGGTAGAGTTTGCCACCAGTCTGGAAGGCATAGGCCAGTTCCACAATGAAGGGGTGCTTCACTGACTCTAGAATGTTCCGCTCAGCCCGCGTGTGTGCCGTGTCCTTGGCGTTGCGCACAATTTTGGCCTGCAGAGGCAGGGATCAGTTAGAAGGTGGGCCCCCAGGACTCCCTCAGTCCCTCCAGCCATTACCCTTCAGCCATTCTCTATCACCGCATTGTATTTCTCCATAATTCTGCAGCTATCAGCAACCATCCTTTCCAGGGACTGGTTTATTCCAGCAGCACCGTGTTTCTCAACTTCCGCACTCGTGACATTTGGGGCAGATAATTCTTTGCTGTGGGGGGCTGTCTTTTGCATTGTAAGACCTTTAGCAGAATCCCTGGGCTCGACCCACTGGATGCCTGTGGCAGTCCCTCTCTAGTCGTGACTCAGAAATGTACACCGACATCGCCAGCATTGCCAGACGTTGCCTGGGAGGCAGTACTGCCCATGGTTGAGAATGTACTGCAGAACAATATAATTGCTACTGACAATACACAAGCAAGTGCTCAAGATAGCGACCATCCCCTCCACTACGTTCACTGCTGTCTCCCAAAGGCCGGTGTAGTACATTGGGAATGGCAGCCACTGGGTGAGGATCTGCCGGCTGAACGAATGACTCACCTTCCTCAGGACTTTCATGGCATATATTCTGCCCACATTGGTGCCCTGCACCTTTCGCACCTGGAACACCTGCAGGGCAGGGGAGACAGGATCAACCTCCCTCTCCATATTCTATCTTCAAAAAGCCCTACCCTGAAGCTCTGGTACTGGGACCAAGAGGCCCACCCAGGAGTGGGGCGGTAAAGATTTCAAGTCCTCCAATTCTAAGAGGATTTACAAGTCGAACTATTTTTCTTTTAACTTTTTGGGTGCAGGGCATGTGAGATCTTAGTTCCCCGACCAGGGATCGAATCCCCGCCCCCTGCATTGGAAGCACTGGACCGCCACAGAAGTCTCTATAAGTCTAATTTGTTTTGAGACCCTTTGGTGCAGCAAGACTAAGGCTGTGAGGCCAGTGAGGAAGGAGGAGGGCCGGTACCTTGCCATAGTTCCC